AACAGTTTCTAAGTTATGGGCACATGCCATTGTTGTAAGTACTTTCCCTTATTTTAAAAGACATGTTTAATTACAACCTTTTCTTCAGTTGGGCTAGATTTGTTAAAACTAGTTATCATAGGGTGGTAGAAATTACAGCTTGTAATAGGTTGTGTTTATAGGGCTAACAGTCTATGGTTATAAGCACACAACAGTTTGTATCGGGGGGGGGGAACTTAGCTGTGTTCACCATCCTAGCGTACCTTTCGGATACCTGTTAATTATAAAATGAGAAGAAAGTAACCGGTATGATTAAACCACTTTTCTTTTGTGTCCTCCCATGTATCTATGCATTTCCAGTTAAATTATTTAAAATTGGGATTTTATCTTTCCAGTGTAAAAATTCATATAGCACAGTGTATCATGGGGAGGCTGCCTGTCCTCCCGCCTCTCCCCAGACCCACGTAAAACCTGAAAGGAAACAAATGCAACAGATTCATTTACAAAGTGAATTGCTGGGAGCAGTTTCCAGTGGTTCTCTTTCAAGGTAGTGACTATACCTATTTACATCACTGCAAATCCCGAGGGCACTAAAAATCTAAGAGAAACGAATTTCCTATGTGCCAAGTTATATGAAAAACTGCCTCAATATATTTTTTAATAATCTAAATAATAAAGATGGCATTGTGGTTCTTATAAGTGTGATAAGCAAACAAATTCTGGTCTGCAGCTAGACTACTCATGGGCATTTCAGGATGTGCCTAATAGGTTATGCTGTGACTGCTGAGTCTCACAAAGCATGTTGGACGGAGTATTCATTTTCCATCCATGGAGTCCACCTGCTGCTAAGGCCCACGAGGACATAAAGGAGAGAGTGATAAGAGGAGAGACGGCCTCACAGCCCTGCTGCAGTCTGACGCTGACGGCGATTAGCAAAGAGGAATGAGGCATTCCAGAAAAGGTCAGTTCCAGGAAGCTGCACTAATAACCAGCTTATTTAATGGGAAGAGTATTTCAATTTTCTCTTAAGAGATTGATTTCAAAGAACGGCATTTCTGGCTGAAAACATATGCAGCTCTCTTGTGATCAGGGGTACACTTGTGCCTTTCAGAGCCAATCCCATCAGCTGACTACTTGATGCTTCTGGTCTCTGCTAATCTTACCCCAATTATAATACTGGCCTTACTGCAGAAATTTCCTTGTGAAATGAACTGCTACGTTGCAGTGAGGTTCTATACTCTGTACTCACAGAGGGTAAGGGTCTGACTTTGTCTCACAGTGCTCTAAAACCTCCTAGCAGAGGAACACAGGAAGTAAGGTTCTCTGTGTGGGGGTAATTCAGGATTAGGGTATATCATTAGAAAAAATACCTGGTAACGTTGTAACTACCTGCCTTTCTAGTGACCGTTCCTTTTCCTTGCAGTGTGTATCACCCAGCTTTTGCGGTTCCTGCTGCTCCTGATGCTTTCATCCTCTGGTAACTGGACCAAAATCTCCCTGGTAAGAACCACCCACGTTCTTACGCTTCACCTGTAAGCTCAGAGTTCATCATGTTTTCTAGACCTAAAACAAAGCACTGTATTCCCTAAAAAATGTGACAGTTTACAGAATGGTCAGGTAACCCCATCAGAAAGGAATTATGGGAGGTTTACTATGATTTCCAGAAAAGAGAATCTTGCTCTTTCTTGCTAGTTTTGAAATTGAGAAGATCTGAAGCTCTCACAGCCATCTTTCCACCATGAGGGAAAACGTCTTTCTGAAACAGAAACCACCCAGGGAGGAAGTCATGACTCCACTGAGCCTTCCGGTCAATAAGACCAACCCGAAGCCTGCCTCATCCCTGGAATTTTAGCTTAAATGAG